TGAAAGGGTTGCAGGTAACAACAGAGGGGCTTTACAGCCTCTGTGCCAATGCCAGCAACTGCTGCCCGTTAGCCAATACTGGCAGAGGGGGTGCCTCAGTCTGGCACAGGTTGGCTCCACTGTCCTTCGACTCATGCCCAGGTGTGGCTGCTCCTGGTGTCCTGGACATGTAACACTGATGTGCACGAGGCTGCAGAGGGGCTCTGTGTGGATGCTGCTCTCTGCTGTTAGGGAAGATGAACGGTTTGATCAAACCAGAGCTAACTAAAACCTGATCTAACCAAAGGTCTCCCCCATATGTCCCTTCCATCCTGTGTTATTCACTGGCATCTGAGTAACACTTCCAGGGATCTGTGCAACGGTAACTGGCAGGGCCCATAGAAATGCATTGCCCAGAGCACTGTGGTCTCTGCTGAGCATGTGGTATGCACCTTGTTCAGACCTGTTTCTGTATTAGTCACTTTGAATTCATCCAAGTGCCTAACCTGGCCTGTGTTGTTCTGGGCACTGTGACAGCTGAGAGCTTTGGAGACTCTCCTAGGAATGCTTTTAACGCATGGATTCGTGCCACTGTCACTTCTAGAAACAATTCAACTAGTGGTCAAAGGGCTGTTCTTCCAACTGATTTTTTGGAAATAATTTCTCCTTTTATTCAGCTGCCAAGAAGCAGTTTATGCTTCCCCTCCACCAGACAAGGTTCTTGAGCTTCCTGCATGCTTCAGATGTCCGTCAGCAAGGTCCATGGGGAGAGTAGTTTGTCCAGCAGGCAGCTGAAGGGGAAGCTGACATCAGATACCAGTTGAAATCACAATGTTAATTGGTAGAAATGTTCTGAAGCTCATGTCCACTGTGATCACATTTCACCATCTGCCACTGCTTATGGCTGTAGAAGTTTCTCCTCATCCTCTTCCCTGCAAGCCATGTAGTGTGTTGCTGCTGCTGCTTCTAAATTATTTGCATCCCTCCTGAGCCAGCTGCTGTAGCAATCCTTGTACAGAATTTCTTAAGCACTTTTTTGCAAAATAAGAAGGATTATTTTGTTACTCCTGCTTGGCAGCCCACAAGTGGTATTTCATTGTGTGGAGGAGATGTGCTCCCTGGAGTGCTCACCTCACGGGACAGCTCTCAGACCAGTTCATACTAACAGGGCTGGGGTTCCCCCCATTGCCTGGTGCTTCCTTGCATGGAGTTCAGCCAGTTGCCCACTGAGAACATGGCAGGGGAATCTGAAGCAGGACAGCACAGATTGGTGATGGCTGCTCATGTGGCTCCATGGTCCTGCTCCCCACCTGGCCGTGTTTTGCAGCCTGTCCTCCAGGTCCCCCTGGTGCACCAGGAGCACTTCACCCCAGCTCCAGCTGTGGCAAGAGGGGCTAGGAGGCTCTGGATTTTGGAATTGAGCACAGAGTTTGTGCCCTTTTAATTGTGACTTGTATTGTGTTCATGGCCAGAACTTGCCAGCATGTTCAGCCATCCCAGCAGTTCTTCCCCTTTGGATCCAAGTTCCCTGCCCTGTCTAGGAGCTGGGCCTTTGGCCATGGCTCAAGGAATCCCTGGGTAGGGAGAGCAGGTTTGTCTTTCAGCTCCAGCTGGGCAGTGTGACTTGAGCTGGGCAGCTTCCCAGGCAAGAAGGCAGGTTTCGGTGGGAGAATCCTTTTTTTGGCCACAGTTGACAGGGTTGGTGCCGGGCTGTGGAGCACCAGCTGCTCAGCCAGGATGGTTGGTTTGTGTGGAAGTGACAGTTTCTTTTTCACCCTTCAAAATGGCACTGGCCTTTTTGCTCCTGTGCTCAGATGGGGATGGCCTTCCAGGAGCTGAGATGGCCCATGGAGTGGACAGCCGTTTTGGGGGTATCTGGCACCTTCCTGATGATGTGCAGCCCTCAGCTTTGCCATCTGGGTGGGCTGGTACAATCTGTGGTGGGCACAGCAGGGCAGGATGCTCCTGAGCCATCACATTTGGGACTCCACTAGAGAGCACCATGCTAGGGTTTCCCTCTCCTTGCAGCCTCTTTTGCCTGGAGGTGGGTGTTATTAGGAGGGTACCAGGTGCCTCAGAGGAATCTTGTTGCAGAAGACATGAGAGGCCAGGATGACCTTTGTCACCAGGTCATCCCTGAGTGTGGAATGAAGCTTGTCTGTAGGTCTGACACTGCTGGATCTTGCAGGTTGGCCAGCAGTTGTTTGTTCCAAAGCCGTGGTGCTGAGGCCAGACCCCTCCCTTTGCTTAAGAACACCAAGGAAGTCTGGTGAAAAAGTGAGAAGCTGGGAGTAGGGAAAGTTAAAGATGCTAGCAGCACCTGTACAGCCAGCAGCCTGCAGCTTCTGTGTCTGCTGCAGGAGATGTGCAAACAGAGGAGCCGAGGCTCTGGCATTCCGCAGCACTGTCTTCCCTCCATCCCTGCCTGGCCACAGAGCTTCCTCTGCCCTGCCTGGTAGCAGCACACAGGCACTGGTGGTGCAGGTGAGCGGGAGTCTTTTTGGAGCAGGCACCCCCCCCAACCCTTCATTTCCATTCTTCATCGGTCTCACAATCTGGCGCTGCTCGCATGGCCTCCAAAATACCTTCCCCAGGGAGTCCCTTAAAGGCCTTATTACCCTCTGGGGCTCTCTCCTTATTGTCTTAATTAGCCATTTCTGTTCCTGTGTTCCTGTGGCTACAGGCAGCCCCTGTGAGTGTCTGGTGATTCCCACAGACACAGTCAGGCACATGCTGCTGTTTTAAAAGAGGTGCTGCAAAGCTACCCCCAGAAATACCTCCCCTCCTGCCCCTGCTCTGCTGCACTGCCCAGGCCTGGGTTGGGACAAAATAAATATGGGTGGGTGTTTATGCTGGGGAAGGCACCGTATGATGCCCTCCCTCCTCCTGGGTCCTGGTGCAGCACTTCTGAGGAGTAGCATTTCCTGAGCAGAGGCATGGCAGCTGCTCTGAGTGACACAGGGGCTCTGGGTGGGCACTGCCCGGCTGCTTTTGCTACTCTCTGCCAACCAGCATCTCCGTGAGAGCCGTCTCCACGCCACGGCATGACCAACCTGCTCCGGCTGAGACCAGAGCCACGGGCTCCGCTGTGGCATTCCCTGGTGTTTGGGCATCCCAAGCAACTTCTGGGGAGCAGCAACTGCAATTCGTAGGAGGGCGAGTAACAAACTTTGTATGATGATTTTACAAATGACCATCTTGTTCTTGAGTGAACTTTTTACCATTTCATTTGTTTGTGTAGAATGTTTCTGAAGTTCTAATAATATTTAATGTTAATATGAAGCTGGGCTGTTCCACACTTCATGTTGTATATTTTGGAATGGCATTGTTTAGTGAAAAGACAGCGTTAGTATTATTCCACTCTTTGGAAGGGAATGGGACAAAAAACAGACTGTCTTTTTCTTAAATGAAGTGAACTTTTTGTTATGAAGTCCTAGCAGGTGTCCAGCCCTTCAATAAAATGGTGCTCAGAACCACCCAATGTGTCCAGCTTTTCTTTGGGCTATGACAGACTGCTCCTCCCTGGGCTTCTGCTCCCAGCTCTGTGTCAGCTCCATGGAATGGTGTCTCCCGTGTGCCCGGAGGCTGCATGCTGCATGGGGCACGCTCAGCTGCAGACCACACCCCCAGCTCGTCTCCCCAGTTCTCCCAGGGAAGTTTGGCATTACTCAAACTCCATTAAGGATTGCCTGGTTTGGGGTAGGAAATACCCCGGATGTGTGTCAGTGGTGCTGAACCGGGATAAATCCGCATTCCTGGTTAGTTCCTAGAAACATGCACACTGTGCTGGCAGGTGCTGTGCCAGCCCCAGCCTGCCTGCCCACCCTCCAGCCTCTCTCGGAATCTGCCCACTCTGCATCCGGGACCCTCTGGCCGGCTAATTCAACAGAAGCACCATTGTTCCACGGTTTGCGATCTGGATCCAGTTTGTGCCACAGGGCTGTCAGTGCGCTGACCCAGAACTAATGGTGGTGGGACTGTGGCCCTGGGCAGACAGCAGCTCCGGTGCCGTGCTGGAGCTCATTCCTTGAGAAGGGAAGTGGTTAAGTAATTCTTTGCTCACTAAGGATGTTCGGGCTGCCTGCTGTGCGCACGGAAGTCGGTCCAAGCAGGGCTGGCCAGGAGTGAGAGGCTGCCCCTGCAGCTCAGGGGCTCTGCCGAGCATGGAAGGGGGGCCTCTGTGCTGCTGCAGGAGTGCCCCGATCGCTGCTGAAAGGTGCTGGGGGAGCGAGGCTGTGGGCGCCCGAGGAAGCGGGGGATGCTCGGCAGTGTTGAAACGCTGGTGACGGAGGGGAGAGCTGCTGGCAGATCTTCAGCCAGTGGAGCTGCCCACGGACAGGCCATCTCTCCGGGCAAACCCGGACCACCCCCACGCGTTCAGCTCTGGGGCAGACGAGGGGATTGCAGCTTGGCATGGGAAGTCAGAGCAGCCTTCAGGGAAGTGCCTGGACATGGGCTCTCTCGTTCCTCACATCCCACTGAGGATCCCTTCCTCCCACTTCGCTTTTCAAGGCCAGAGATCCTGTTACAGTTGCCTTTATCAGGCCTCTTTGGATCTCCTTGGAGCAGATAAGGTTTGCTTGGCAAGATCCCTTGACATAGACACCCTGGCCACTGCTAATAGCACTTTGTCAGCTCATCTCCTGTCAGCTCTCCCAGCTCAGAAGGTGGTGGTGGTGGTGCCTGACCACCAGCCTGCACTGCTGGAGCCTCACCGGGCACAGCCTGGCCCTTCCTTCAGACTTCCAAGTGCCTTGCATGGCTATGGGGAGCTGGTAGGGCACTGCTCGCAGCATCTCTTGTCCTGCTGAGGTGCCTGGCTGTCTCAGGGTGTCCCTGGGGGTGTGGGTTTTGGCATCCCTATGGCCGAGAGCTGCTTCTTTGTCTGCCCATGACCTTGCTTGGCGGCGGGCAGCCAGAGCATGGCCTTGGTGTGGAGAGCACACGGTTCCTCTTCCTTCCTTCGGCCTCGGCTAATAAAAGGCACTATCCCTACGTGACAGTGAGGTCTCTGTGGAGCCCGGCCCTGGTGCACAGCCGTGCTCCCTGCAGGGCTCCAGGGCTGCTGGCTGAGCACCTAGCCCAGCCAGTCCAGAGGATCCCAGGCAGCACCGACCAGCACAGGGTGAGTGGTGCATGGTGGTGTCCACAGTGCCAGCACTGGGCTTTAACAGGATCCATCTGGCATGGGTACTGGGGTAGCACAGTGCAGGGCTGTCGGTACCGCTGCTAGGGATGTGCCCTGAGGAGGCACAGACGGGCCTGTGCAGTGCAGGGCGAGTCCCAGCCAGGCTGCCTGTCTCAGCGGCCCCACGTGCTGCACAACCGGGCGCAACAGCCCTGTGGGAATGCTGTGCCTTCTCCCGACCAGCCTAGGCACAGGACACTGCTGTGTCACACGTGGGCCACCGCCAGCGTGTACCTTCCTCTGCCTCACCTTGGCTGAAGCTCGGTGCGGGCAGGTCCCTCCCCTCGCCTGGCACGGCTGCCGGAGGAGGAGACAGGCACCGGCCGCCCTCCTCCAGGAACAGCAGCTGAGCCCAGCCCGAGCCCAGCCCGAGCCCAGCGGGCCTCCGACTCCGCAGCCCACCCGGGCCACCAGACACCTGCCCAGCACCCGAGGCTCCCACGGGCACAGGTAGGCGCCGGTGTGCCGTAGGGGAGACCCTGGGCACGGCACAGCTCTGAGGCATGGCACAGCTCTTGGCACACGGCACAGCCCCATGGCACGGGCTGGGTGCTGGCAACTGGCATGAGGCAGCACACAAGGAAGGGGCTGCGGGGTGCCTTGGCAGTGACAGGCTGGGTACCCCCACCCCTGCCGTGCGTTTCCTATGGCTGACGTGTGCCGGACTTCGCCCAGGGAGCTGTGGCAGTGGGGAGGTACAGGTACCTTGGGAGGGACGTTCCCACCCGGCAGCATCGTGGCCGTACCCGGGTGAACTCCTGGTGGAAC